TGGTAACTTTTTTTCTCTTCCCTACCAGTCAGTGTTCTCTAATATGCAGGTGTTAACATGCTGCCCTTTTCTTTCTATTGAAAACCTGTTTTTTATTACTGTTTCAGATGTTTGTAAATGCAAAATCTTAAATCTCATCTTTTTCCTTGCCAAACCTATATGTCTACTCGTGACCCTTTTCCAGTAGAGTTAACCATTTTCTCTACTGACTAAACTACTTTCTGAGTGTCCTTAATTCTGCTAATGGAGTTATCATTATCTTAGTCACCTGGGTTAAAATTTGAAGTTTTTGTTAATTTCAAGGTACAGTTGATAGAAAAATCAATGACCGTTCATTAAATGTTCCTTTAATATGTTGTATGATGCATGGAATAGTGCCAGGTGCTGAAGACTTCCTCCTGGAAGGATTTTGTATTCTATCTGGAAAGTTAAGATCTGTTCTTATCACTGTCCTATTAATTTTTATGATATTCAATAGCCTCTTTAGAATTGGGTGGTAAAGGAATTTTTCACCAGAGGGGGTGGCCCTGGGCTCATTATTAAGGATGAGTGAGATTTCTCTTGGAAAACCCAGATGGGCAAAAGTATAGGAATTTGGTCTGGTGTATAAAGTGTATAAAGTGGTGGGTATATTAGGTTGGTACTAGATCCAGCCCTTTTTTTTTTTTTTTTTTTTTTTAAAGAGAGGGAGTGGGGAGGGTCAGGGAGTGGGAGAGAAAGAGAGAATGTTAAACCGGCTCCATGCCCAGCATGGAGCCCAACACGGAGCCCAACACGGGCCTTGATTTCATAATCCTGAGATGAGGACTTGAGCCAAAAAGAAGAGTTGGATGCTTAACCCACCCAGGTGCCCCAGATCCAGCCATTTTTTTGAGTCTTGATTCTTCCTTTGAAAACTCATGATCATAATTCATGTTTGAAGGACACTTTTTAGTGCATCTGTTGTGTTTGTGTTTATACATATGTGCACACATATTTTATTATTTTTTAAAAGATTTTATTTATTTTAGAGAGGATGTGCATGTGTGCAATGTTGGTGGGGCAGAGGGAGAGAGAATCTTAAGCTGAGCATGGAGCCCGACATGGGTCTCCATCCCATGACCCCATCCCATGACCCTGAGATCATGACCTGAGCTGTGAAAGCAGGCGACCCTACATATTTTATTACTTGAACATTTCAGTCACTTAGGAACCATCATCCCATTTTACAGAAGAATTAGTAGAATTACAAAGAGTGATACCCGGTCATGGTCTTATATCTTGTCGGGGACAGAATCTGATAATTTTCTGTTTTTTATCACACTACTTTATAAAAATTTAGAAATTGTGAATATTTTGAGTTATGAAATATTTTAACATAGAGAAGAAGAGAGAATATAACATCTCATGACTTGCCAAACTGTTTTTTAATCTGGTTTTAAAACAGCTGAAGCTTTTCCATTCTTTGTCCTTTTTTCCTTTTAGCAGTGGCAACCTGTACTCATTGTCCTGAGACTGGTGTGTATCATTTTTATCCATGCTTTTTTTCTCTTACCATATCTGTCCATATCCATAAATACTGTGTTTTGTTTTAACCTTCACACGGTTGCTCTGGTAAAGAAATGTATATTTTTCCAAGTTGCTTTTCTTTAGCTCACTCACTCACTACTTGCTTGCTCATTCATTTAATAAATAGGCACTATTCTCAGTCTAGGGGAATTTGATGATGGATAAGGAATATGAAGCTACCTGCCTACTAACATTTCAGTAAGGATGACATATACTAAGTAAATAAAATTAATATGTTGATTAGGTTAGGAAATACCATGAAAAGTGAGCACGGTCAGGAAGTAGAGAATGATATAGGAGTGTGATATATGCTATTTTAGAAAAAGTGGCCAGGGAAGTCCTTTTTCAAGAAGTGACATTTGAACAGCTGAATTAATTGAAAGAGTAAGCATGTTAAATAAGATCAGGGAGAATTCCAAGGAAGGAAATATCAAGAGCAAAGGCCTTAAGGTAGAAATAACTTTGTAGCACTTGAGAAATGGAAACGAATGGTTAAGTGCAAAGTTAGGTAGGAGAATGTACAAAATGACTTGGAGGAAAGGCTAAAGGCCAGATCATGTAGGCCCTATAAAGTGATGTTAAGGAGTTTGGATACCAAGTGTAATGGCAAGCCACTGAAAAATCTTTGAGCAGAGGAATGACATAGTTTGACATACTTATAAGATTACTTTTATACTAGAATTCTGTGTAGTAGAAAAGAATGTGGAAGCACTTTCTATATTGGAATGGGAAGATCTTGAACATACATTGTTCATATGTTTCTCTGTACCTGTTTCTTTTTAGACTACCACTATGTAAAAAAAGATTTTCTGTATATATTTATATTTGTTTGTGTTAAATTTCTCTGTAAGGGCATGAAAGACAGATACAAAAGGATTACCTATGAGAAGTGAAATTGATTGATGATGGGGAGAAAAATGAGAAACTGGCACTCTATACTTTTTTGTATGTCCAGAAAATTTTTAAAAATCATACAGAAGTGATACACATCTTAAGTATCCCACTAGCTGGATTCTCACAAACTGAGCTCTCCCATATAATCACCCATAGGAGAACCAGAACTTCACCAGGATGGCCAGAACTCAGATTTTCTTCTAGTTAACACCCTTCCTTTCAAAGGGAAACCACCTGTCTGACCTCTAATAAAGCGTGCATTAGTTTTACCTCCCATTGTACTGGCACTTGTAACTCTGTTTTCTTCACAACAATTTGTTTTAGATCATTTACTATTTTTATTTTAGTATTATGCAAGTAATGTGTTAATAGATTCCCTTTGTGTAAAGCTTTAAACGATACAGAAATACATAAAACGAATCACAAGGACCCCTTTCTCTCTCTTGCCCTTCCCCCATTCCATGCCTCTCCCCAAAGGTAACTGCAATGATGAATTTAGTATGTAGCCTTCTAGTCCTTGTTCTATGTGTACACGCAGAAGTAACTTTTCCTTTTTTTTTTTTTTCGGTTAATACATAATATGGTTAGTATTTGATGATGGTGATGACGATGATAGTAAGATTAGTAGTTAAAATTTATTAAGCACCTTCTAGTGGTTAACTACAGTATGTTAATCTGGTCTTCAAGCTTTTCTCCTCTTGTCCCTTTCATCAACTTAATCTCTACATTGTTAATATATTCTCTCCCCACACACATGCACTACCCTGTCTGGTCTCCATTATGTTCTGGTGTTGCTGGTTAAGATCTCATTTAGCCAGACCTATCTGTTGTCTACTTTAGGAAATGCTCTAGTCATGTTTGCCCACAGATTTTTTTGTTGTTGTTTGTGTCCCTATGCCTTTGAAGTTTCTCTTGTTTTAGACAAGCCAGTGATACTTTGGCTTACTCTATTACCTTTACTCTCTGGTCCAGATGGCTTTTATCCTGTATTCTTGATGTAGCTACAGCTGAGCTCAGCTGTCTTAGCACATAACACTTCACAGTCTGTGACCTGTTACTGACACTTTTCGTCTTTCCTTATATTTCTTTAGTTTAATATGGTCAGTTTTGCCTACCCGGCAAAAATTACCCCATGTAGGGTTGGGAAGTCCATCCACACAGGAGGGGTATTTACTTTACCTTTGTGCACCTTTGCACCCATTGTTCTAGGTTCTCATCATGGTTCATGGCAGTCTGGATAGCCAGTGCTGGTTGATCATCTTGGCACTTACTACATCTCAGTAAGTGTATGCTGAATGAATGAGTCAGTTGGCTCTTAAGATGAAACATAATTTGGTGTATCTTTTTCTTTCTTTTTTAAGCACCATCATGACAGTTCACAGTGTATGGCACATAGCAAGCAATTAGATATTATTTGTTGAATTCAACTCAGTTTTATTTTAATTTATGTTTGCCTGGGTTTTACTGAACACATGTATTCTTTTCTGGGAAGATGGGTCCCAATCCAGAATGGTCTTCATGCCAGAGTTTGGTAGATATTGTCAAAGACAGAGCTGCAGCATTATTTCCAATTTTAGGCACAAGAAAAGGAGCCTCTTGGCTTCCAATTTGTTACTGACATCCTTTTTCCAAACATTACTCCTGCTGTTTCACTAGCTACTCATTGTCTGTAGTTGGCTGTGTAGTGACCACAGGGAATTGTACCCATTCTTATCGGTGCAGTGCCGCTGCACATCACTTCCTCTTGTCATCATCTCCAAGAGCTTCGTAAAGGTACAGCGGGGCAGTCTGCCTAGAGCAGGTTCTTTAACTTAGCATGCCTAAAATATCACAGAAGGCACTAGGAATCACATAATTATAAACTGTGCTCTTCTGGGTTAAACTTTGAATTTATTCTCTTTACATCTATTCAGCGTTTTTAGTTTTAAAAATAGATACTTTGCATTTTTCTGGCAGTTATGTGTGTTACGATTTATCTGAGGATTTGTTATCTCATTAAAAAATCTAATATAAAATTTGATAAAATTTCCATCTAATAATGTGACTTAAATAGGACAATAGCTTTTTCCCAAACCTTATATAAGTCTATGAAACACTTTACGAACAATAATGACCTTAGGAAAGAGATTTCTCTGAAGACTTGTAGACATTAGGACATAATGTGTTCAAAATTGACATGGCATGACATGGGTTTCAGTGAAGGGAAGTACTTCAGAATCAGACCTTAGAAGGGTGTATGGGGGCTTATTGGCCTGAGGAAAGGAAATGAAAGTCTAGAGCTTACTTGTTTGGAAAATATATAGGAGAGAAGGTAGAGCAATCTGTTTTGCTTTTGGTTATTATTTGGCATTGCCAGTGAGTTATTTTTTCATGTTGTGAAGAAAGGAAATGAGTGGTCACAGGACTTAAGGGAAAATTTCTAGACTTGGGTTTTTTGTAATAATGCTTTTCTGCTCATATTTAAAAATAACATACTTTCTAATTATATTGATTTAGGTGTATGTTAATTACATGCATTTAAGTTAGGGGTCTTATCCTTTTCCCTCTTTCTCTTTCAGGACTTGAACCAATGAAAGAATCTTATGGCACTTATGAAGATAAATGTCACTCCTCCCTTTTTAATTGGAACTTCTGCTTAGAACCTTTATGTGATTTTTCATCTGTGAGCTGTTCTTTGAGTAGCCACTGACTTTGAGTTGCAGGAAGGTCTCCGAAGATTTATATCAAATGACGTCAATGGCCAGCTTGTTTTCCTTTACTAGTCCAGCAGTAAAGCGATTGTTGGGCTGGAAGCAAGGTGATGAAGAGGAGAAATGGGCAGAAAAGGCAGTTGACGCTTTGGTGAAAAAGCTAAAAAAGAAAAAGGGTGCCATGGAAGAACTGGAGAAAGCCTTGAGCAGTCCAGGACAGCCAAGCAAATGTGTCACTATTCCCAGATCTTTAGATGGACGCCTGCAGGTTTCCCACAGAAAAGGCTTACCCCATGTTATATATTGTCGTGTTTGGCGTTGGCCTGATTTGCAGAGTCATCATGAGCTAAAGCCATTGGATATTTGTGAGTTTCCTTTTGGATCTAAGCAGAAAGAAGTCTGTATCAACCCATACCACTATAAGAGAGTGGAGAGTCCAGGTAGGTTTTACCTTGAGAACATTTACGAAAACTTGTCTCTTTCCGATTTATAGTTCAGTGGATTTAGTAATTAAAAGGCCATATTAGCCTTGTGTTTCTTTCCTAAAGATTTTACTCTTGGAAGAAATGGTGGATTTTGAATTTAGCTTTTTGTGTATAGATAAAATAGCTCCCAAGTAGCTAATTCTAATTCATGTTCACTGTAAGCAGTTGGTCATATGTACATGAATCAGTTGGAGTCAGTGATTTGCATGCCCTGCCTTTCCTGTGGATGACATGTCTCTCTTTTTTTTTTTTTTAAGATTTTATTTATTTGACAGAGATCACAAATAGGGAGACAGGCAGGCAGAGAGAGAAAGGGGGAAGCAGGCTCCCCGCTAAGCAGAGAGCCCAATGCGGGGCTCGATCCCAGGACCCTGAGATCATGACCTAAGCTGAAGGCAGAGGCTTAACCCACTGAGCCACCCAGGCACCCCAACATGTCTCTGTTTTCTCTAAAACCCAAGTCCATATGTGTACTACATCCCATTCCTTTTTGTCTACTCAAGAACTTTGTTCATACAGTTATCACCCCTCTCCCCAGGATTACATTTCCCCTCTCTGTTATACTATTTCTGTCAGCACATAGGCATGTCATGCTACTGCCCATCCTAGACAGAAGTTAAAAAAGAATTTTGGTCCCAACTTCATTCACATCCCCTCACCCCTAGTCTCCTGTACTGTTTCTTTGAGTCCTTTTGTAGGAGTCTCCTTTTTTTTTTTTTTTTTTTTAAAATCTCTACGTTACTTTATTCCCATTCTTTCTGGACACTCCCTCTGCTTAGTCTGTCTTCCTTACCATTTAACTTGTCAAGATCACTGGTGACTGCCTTCTGGTTGGAGGGGTCTTTCTCAGACCTCATCTCACTTGCCTTTTTAGCTTCATTTGAGAAGTGCCTCAACAGAGGCACTTGCTTTCCTTCTCTCCCACTCACAACTTTCTCTTTATTGGCTTCTGAAACATGACACTCTTTTAGTTCTACTTCACTGGCTCTTTTTGCTTAGTCGTGTTATTGGCTTATTTTCCTATTTTCACATGACTCAGTCCCTAGACCTTTTCTACGTCCATATCTTTCCTCTGTGGGCTCTCATGTGGTCACGTGTCATAAAACCATAAGCTCATTCTCACGTTTTGAACTCCAGAGTGAACTTCTCCTTTGAGTTTTAGGCTTCTGTATTCAGTTGCCCACTTGACATCTCCACTTGAATGTCTCTAAACATGTCAGATTTAATATGTCTAAATAGGACTTTTGATTTTTTCCCCCACCGAGTCCTTTTTACCTCTAGTTTTCCCAGTTGAAGTAAATGGTACCAGCATTCATGTAATTGCTATCTAGAAGTCATTTTTTTTCCTCTTCTTTGAAGTCTTCATTTAAGTTATGAACAAATGCTATTTGCTGTATCTTCAGAATATATCTTAATAATGTACCCTTTTACACCATCTCTCAACACCACTACTCTAGGACAGACCATCATCATCTTCTACCATAAGCAGTGTCCTAATTGGTCTCTGCCTTTCTTCTTTCCCCCAACCTGTTCTGTTTTTTGCACAGCAGCCAAAGTGATCTTTAAAAAGTAGCAAATCATGGGGCACCTGGGTGGCTCAGTCAGTATGTTCAACTTTTGGTTTTGGCTCAGGTCATGATCTCAGAGTTGTGAAAGTGAGCCCTGTGTTGGGCTCCATGCTCAGTGGGGAGTCTGCTTGAGATTCCCTCTATGTATATCTAAAGTCAGTTTTTAAAAAAAAAATACCAAATCACGTCTGTGCCTGCTTAAAACACTTAAGACTTTTATCACACTTAGAACAGATTTCTACAAGACCCTATGTAACCTCTCTTCAAATTTCCTCTGTTCCATGGACTTGGCCTATTCCTGCATCTAGACTTTTTTTCCCTTCTCTATTTCTACTACTTAACTCTCAGAGAACATGATCTTTTCATGATACATTTTCTCCCTCCGTTCAGTCCTTACTCGTGTACCACCATCACTACTTGATGCTGTGTTAGATATTTATTTTATTTACCGGCTGATAATAAAAAGGAATTTTCTCTGTTTCATTCTGTACTGCATCACCAGTGCCTAGAATGGTCGTAGTACCTGGCACTTAGTAGGTGGTACACAATAAATATATTTTTTAATGAATGAATTATATAAGCTGAGATACTAGTTGGGTGCATTAATTATCTTTTGGTGCATAACAGATTAAGTGGCTTAATACACATTTATTACCTCACAGTTTCTGTAGGACAGGAGTCCAGACATGGTTTACCTTAAGTCCTTTGCTAGGCTCTGTTTAAGGTATTGGGTCTCAGTGTACGGCTCAGCTAGGGAAAGATCTGCTTCCCAGCTCACGTGATTATTGATGGGGTTCAGTTCCTTGTGGGCTGTTGGACTCTTCTTGCTGGTTGTTGACTAGAGGCTGCCTTCATTTGTTTGCCACCTTTTTCATGGGTAGCTCGCATTCATGGCAGCTTACTTCTTCAAAAACAGTAAGAAGAGAGGGCATTATATTATATTGTGTCACACATAACATCCTATCACCTTTGCCATGTTCTGTTGGTGAGCAGCAATTCAGAGATAATACCTTGAAAGGGAGAGGGTTTTGCAAGGGTGAGTACCTGCCGAGAGGCAGGAATTATGGTGGCCATATTCGAGTCTATCTTCCATGCTGGATTTCACATGGAGACAATAAAAGCCTGGTATGGAAATAACACTGGGTATGGAGACTAGCTAAAAGAATGGCAGTGATAGTGCTGTTAGGGTTAAAGACCCATGTATGAAATTTTAATATATCATGGTTAAAAAAGAAGATTCTGAAAACTCCCAGAGAGAAAAGATGGGACATATAGAAAGGACTGGAAGTGAGAATGTTGGGTTTCTTAGAGCAGTTCTGGATTCCAGAAGATAGTGAAGCAGTGCCCTTAAAATTCAGAGAGAAAAAGTTGTTTATTCTGGAATCTGCAGACAAAGACATTTTCATATATGCAAGGACAAAAAATTTATCTTCTTTTTACCTTTTTAAACAATTCTTAATTATTTGAGAGAGAGAATGAGCAGGGGGAGAGGCAGATGGAGAGGGAGAAGCAGACTCTTACTGAGCAGAGAGCCGATGGGGGTGCATCCCAGGACCTCGGGATCATGACCAGAGCCAAAGGCAGATGCTTAATGATCTGAGCCAACCAGGTGTCCCCTTCCTTTTACCTTTCTTAGGAAACTAATAGAGCATGAGGTCCAGGAAATGGGTTCCAACAAAAGAGAAGGGAAGTCTAAGGACTTGAGATCTCCAGATCTCCAGACTTAAGGATTTAGCATTCTAGATTGTAGAAGGATGAAGAGTCCAGGGGAAAAATGAGTTAATAGATCACATATTTGTGGCATCTGGAAAATAGTACTGATAGGAATTTAACATATCTGCTAGACTTCTGGAAATATTAGTGGTGTGTAATTAAGATTAAGCAAATGAAGTAACAAGTCAATAATCAGCTTTACTTAAAGCACTGTTCAAGAACAAATATAATCATACCACACACTTGGCTCAGGAATGAATAATATTTGTACAGATAATAAACACCAAGTGTTGATTTAGCCAGCATTTTTAATGTAACTTTATTGAGGGGAATGAGAGTGGGGTAGAATAATGTAAGAAAGCTACTTCATTTGCCACAATAGCAGACCGGCAGATGATGTTTTGGCAAATTAATAATAGCAATATAAGCATATTGTTTTAGCAGTGCACAAAATAAATGTTAGAAGAGGTAGCTAAGAGTTTAAATTTGTTGTCTCTGGAAGCTGTATGAGAGGAGACTTAGAAATTGCTGTGTTTGTTATCTCTTGTAGCATCTGCCTTTTTAAACTATGTATTTTGGAGGAAAATAGTCTTTAAAAAGTGATGTGTACAGATAATAGACAAGAGAGAAGTCCATGATTTTAGCTCTGTCTTGAAAAAAAAAAGTAGAAGAATTCTTACTGGGTTGAATTCCTCATTAGTTATTTCACTTAGTCTTTCAGCTTGCTGGCCAGCTAAACATAGAAATTCTTATTGTCTAATGCCCTACTCTCCAGTGGCAGCTGTCCCATCATTCTGTAAAGGGAACAGCAGTTGGTAATACACAGTAGAACGAAACAATCGTAATCAGATGTTAACCACATAATTACAACACTGATTTAGTACAAAGAAAAGAGATGAAAAACAGTATGAATACTGAGTTACAAAGCCTCTCATTCCTCAGGTACATCCCTACTTCAGGCAGGGAAGTATGATCTAGTTAACTTAAAGACAGATTGATTTTGTTGCTGCTGAATGACGTCAGAGTCAAAGTGAGATTTTTGGAAGTAAAATTACTTTGACAGATATGGGAAAGTTGTATAAGAGATGAACTCATACCATGGAGTTTAAAAAAATCATGTTTGTTTAGATTTCCTACGGGGTGGGTAGTCAGACATTTCTTTGTGATTGGCCATTTGGGTCTTCAGAGATAGTGAGTGTTTGAATAAAGTTAAGCTTTTAAAAAATAGGTCTCTTAAAGTATTTAGGCTTTGTTGGATATGTTTTCCTTATGATCATGTGTAGAAAAGTGATTTTGAATGGAAGACTTCTACTTAGGAAATGTTACTATTTTCACTAGGGAAGACTTGACTGAAGAACATAAAATGTGAAATCTCTCCAGCTAAGAAAGTTGAGATGTTCAAAATTGGAAACACTGAGGCTTTTGGGGCATCATAATAGCTGACCTCAGCATCACACTCTAATCTCAACTCCAGTTCAGTGCTTAGGCCAACTGTTAATATGCTTTCTCATCCCTCTTCTGGAGTCTCCCCATCTCCTTCTCTGCTGTCCTGCACCTGGCACCCCCTGTTCTTCAATGTCCGATCAGATGTAATCTTTTCCAAAACGTTTTGATTATTGCTAGATGGAAGTCCTCAACTCTGTTGAACTCTCATTACATTAAATTCTTTGTGTTAGGATTGTTTTAAAATAGGCCTTCTCTCCTATAACAGGAGTGGTATCTTTCCTGGATTTTCAGTTTTCCAGAGCTCTTTATGCAGGCCTAAATCCTTAGAGTGCTTTTGGTTTAGTTATTATGTAAATATACATTCAAGGTTCTACAAAGCAGCCATTCCTGAAAGTAAATTGTTTTAATAGGTTTACAATTCTACCGAATCCTTTCTATCTATCCTTTAATATGTTTGGGATATTTGCTTTAGTCTTTGCTGACAGATGACTTTTGATTTTTGTCTTTCAGTCTTACCTCCAGTATTAGTGCCTCGTCACAATGAATTCAATCCACAACACAGCCTTTTGGTTCAGTTTAGAAACCTGAGCCACAACGAGCCGCACATGCCACAAAATGCAACGTTTCCAGATTCTTTCCACCAGCCCAACAGCACTCCTTTCCCCTTATCTCCAAATAGCCCTTATCCCCCTTCTCCTGCTAGCAGTACATATCCCAATTCCCCAGCAAGTTCTGGACCAGGAAGTCCATTTCAGCTCCCAGGTAAGAATTTATTTTATTTTATTTTATTTATTTTATTTTTTTTTAAAGATTTTATTTATTTATTTGACAGAGAGAGATCACAAGTAGATGGAGAGGCAGGCAGAGAGAGAGACAGGGGGAAGCAGACTTCTCGCTGAGCAGAGAGCCTGATGCGGGACTCGATCCCAGGACCCTGAGATCATGACCTGAGCCAAAGGCAGCAGCTTAACCCACTGAGCCACCCAGGCGCCCAAGAATTTATTTTATTGATTAAAACGATGACCCTTGAGAATCAGTGGTTGTTCTTATACTGCCGGTCCTCTGGTGAATTGTTACATGCTAAGAGATGGCTATTTTTGACTCTGTGTTCTTTGGTAATTATGTGATTTCAGAAGAGTTTTGGATTTTATTTTGCTGTGTACCATATGTTTTTTAAAAACGGAAGTGGCCATATTTTTCATAGCAATAGAAAAAACAATCTTAAAATTTATATATAGCCATAAAAGACTCAAGAATAGCCAGCGCAGTCTTAAGAAAGAAGAATCAAGCTGGAGGCATCACATTGCCTGATTTTAAACTATATTACAAAGCTATAGTAATTTTTCAAACAAATTTTTAAAAAATTGAAGTATAATTAACTTACTGTTTCAAAGGTACTATAATTAAACCAGTGTGGGATTAGCATTAAAACAGACCTGTAGGTCAGTGGAGCAGAAGAGAGAGCCCAGAAATAAACCCACACTTAGGTGGACAGTTAATTTATGACAAGGGAGCTAAGAATATGCAGCGGGGAAAGGAGAGTCTTTAGTAAATGATGTTGGGAAAATTGGACAGCCACATGCAAAAGAATGAAGCTGGACTACTATTTGACACTATACACAAAATTAAGTCAAAAGAGATTAAAGACTTGAACATAAGACCTAAAATCATAAAACTCCTAGAACAAAATAGGCAGGCAGCTCCTTGACATTGGTCTTGGTGCTGATTTTTTGAATTGACCTCAAAAGCAAAAGAAGCAAAAAATAAACGAATGGGACTACATGAAACAAAAAAATTTCTGCACTGCAAAGGAAACCATTAATAAAATGAAAAGGCAACCTACTGAATGGGAGAAAATACTTGAAAATCATATATCTGATGAGGGGATAATATGGGAAATACGTAACTGCTACAGCTCACTAGCACAAAAACATTCCAACTGAAAAACGGGCAGAGGACACGAATAGGCCTTCTTCCCAAGAAGACACACATGATCAACAGGTACAGGAAAAGGTGCTTTGCATCGTGAATCATCAGGGAAGTACAAATTGAAACCACAATGAGTATATATCTATCACCTTATACCTATTAGAGTAGCTGTTATCAGAAAGACTAGAGATAAAAAGCCTTGGCAAGGATGTGGAGAAGAGGAAAACCTCATGCAGTTGGTGGGAATGCAGATTGGTACAGCCACTGTGAAAAACAGTATGGAATCTCCCAAACTGCAGGTTGCTGACGGGGAGGGGGTGGCGGAACGGGGTAACTGGGTGATGGACCTTAAAGAAGGCACATACTGTAATGAGCACTGGAGATTATATAGGACTGATGAATTACTGACGTCTTCCTCTGGAACCAATAATATATGTTGATTAATTGAATTTAAATTAAAAAGAAAAGGAAAACAGTATGGCATTTCCTCAGAAAATTAAAAATAGAAATGCCATGTAATCCAGTAAATCCCATTTTTTGTTACTTATCTGAAGGAAACAAAAACGCTGACTTGAGAACATATGCAGTCCCAGGTTCATTGCAGCATGATTTATAATAGGACACAGAAGCAACCTAAGTGTCCATCGATGGATGAATGGATAAAGAAAATTGTGGTATATTCAGCCATAAAGAAGAATGAAATCTTGTCATTAGTGACAACATGGCTGGACCTTGAGGGTATTAAGCTAATGAAGTAAGTCAGGAAAAGACAAATATCATATAATTTTTCTTATATGTTGAATCTAAAAAAAAACAAAAACAAGAAACCCAGATCATAGATATTGAGAACATTTGGGTAGTTGTCAGAGGCAAGAGGTAGGAGAAATGGATGAACTGCTTTTTTTTTTTTTTAGTTGAAATAAATTGAACATTGTAAAAAAAGCAGAGTTTTGGAGAGATGATCCTTTAAGAACAATAAAAAAATTCACATTCTCCTTTCATCCTGTCTTCTTTCTCTCACTGCTTGATTTTTCTTGATAGCCTATATTACAACCCAACAGATCGTCTGTATTTATATTCTGTCCTTTCCTACTCTCCCTTTCTTGACTATAAACTCCATGAAAAAGGGAATTTTAGCCTTTTTTTTTTCTTTTTTAAATTGCTACATCCCCAGTTCCTATATCAGAGCCTGGTATATAGCAGACCTTCAATAAATATTTGTGAAATGAATGGGTAAACTTACAGAAATATATATATATACATATGTATATATATATATATATATATATATATATACATATGTATATATATATATATATAACTAGCTATGCAAAGTGGCTACCCCTGCAACCTGAGAGTGAAGCCAAATGGTGCTAACTTGAAAGGCTTCATAGGGGGTCTATATATGTGAAAGCAGTGTTCTAACAGGTTATCAAAAACCTGAAGACAGAAAAAGACTTTGTGTTTGATGACTATTATGTGGAGTAGGTATTCTGGAAAACTGAAAGTGTATTTTAGGTATCATTGGATCATTTATTGGCCCAAACACCCAAATTATGTATTTCCAGGCATTAAAAATTAAAGTTCTAGGGACGCCTGGGTGGCTCAGTTGGTTAAGCAGCTGCCTTCGGCTCAGGTCATGATCCCAGCGTCCTGGGATCGAGTCCCACATCGGGCTCCTTGCTCATCAGGGAGCCTGCTTCTCCCTCTGCCTCTGCCTGCCATTCTGTCTGCCTGTGCTTGCTCTCTCTCCCTCTCTCTCTCTCTGACAAATAAATAAATAAAATCTTTAAAAAAAAAAAAATTAAAGTTCTACCCCCCCCCAAAAGAAGTAACCTTGTTTGACTTAAATATTTTCATGTAATTTGTAATATGAAGTACCATTTATTGAGTGCCTTTTGTATAACTGGTACTGTGATGAAGATACTGCATTAAATTTAATCTTCAGAGCAACCATGTGAGATAGTAGTCCGATCATACAGGTGGAGAAAGAAATTGATACTCCCTTTAGGAGTTTAAGTATCTTGGCTGAGCTTTGCGGCCTAGGTTTCTCTGCTCTCAAGTCTGTGCTTTTTGCTTTTTTTTTTTTTTTGGTAAACATATAGTGTATTACTATAGTGTATTACTCGCTTCAGGGATACAGGTCTGTGAATTAAACTGTATGCTTTTTTAACTTCACTGGTTGTCATATGATTATAGACTTTGGAAAGTTAAAAAGGCACCCCAGTTATCTTTAATTAGATAACTGATAAACTGGTTTGCCCGGGGAAAGTTCATAAGTAGATTTTATAAAGTGCCCAGATTTTGTTAATGGCCTGTCATATATGGACGCATCACTATGTCACTTTGTCAAGAAATAATTGAATGCCTACTGTTGCAGGTGGAGTCATAGATAAGTATGTTGTTTCTGGTTTCTTTGTTGCATTGGTTGATGTGGTTTTTTATTTTTTTAAGAAGAATTAAGTATCAGCTGTTTAATGTGCTGTTGGGTTTTTGTGCCAGAACTAATTTTCATACTTTGCCCTAGATTCAGTTTGATTACAGTTCTCTGTCAAAATATATTTTGTACAAACCTTGGAGTGAAAGACAGAAATAGAGCTGTAGCTTCTGCAGAGATTTTTTAACTACGAGGGCTGGAATTCAGATTGTCTAGTTCACATTCAGATGTCCTAAGAATTACCTAATCATTTACTAAGGCCTTACAGCCATTTCAGGATATTGAAAAGAATTAAATGTCTACCTGCTGTTCATGTTGGTAGTCCGATCATACAGGTGGAGAGTATAGTTTTAGTTTTTGGTATTAATTAACAACATACAGTATGGGATCTTGGTAATTTCAAAGTGTCTCTGTAGAGGTACACTCAAACTAGGTTAATCTGCGTCCTTCAGATTGGTCTGTAGTTGTTGCAGTTCCTCCCAGCATGGGTCTAAGCACATAAAGACAAAATTCTTGACCTTGAATTCTATTTTAGTGAATTTCAGCACTGATCTACTATCCTGGATTGAACTGAATATATGTGGTCCTTTAGTAGGTTTTCAGTAACTAATAGGTGTGCTGTCTTTTCTCCTTTTCTCTTGCCTCAGGTAGCATCGTACATTTTTGTTTTACTATAATGTTCAGTGACAAACCCTGTTATTAATCTTAGGAAATTTTTTTTTAAAGATTTTATTTATTTATTTGACAGAGATCACAGTAGGCAGAGAGGCAGGCAGAGAGAGAGGGGGAAGCAGGCTCTCTGCTAAGGAGAGAGCCAGATGCGGGAGGGACTTGATCCCAGGACCCTGAGATCATGACCCAAGCCAAAGGCAGAGGCTTAACCCACTGAGCCATCCAGGCGCCCCAATCTTAGGAACTTTTTAATGCTTTTAGAATACATTTAAGCAGGATGAAGGTATTAACAATTCTTTTGGAACTTTAACTTTTCTCATATTCTTCTTCTTAGCTGATACTCCTCCTCCTGCCTATATGCCACCAGATGATCAAATGGGTCAAGATAATTCCCAGCCAATGGATACAAGCAATAATATGATTCCTCAGATTATGCCCAGTATATCCAGCAGAGGTAAGAGAAATTTTCATCATAATTTGTTGTTACTGCTATTTTGTTTTTAACTTCTTACCACTTTTTAAAAACTTTATGAAGTATTGTTTATAAACCATAACATTTATCCATGTATATGATTCAGTGACTTGTAGTAAATGTATAACGTTTTGTACCATCACCACAATCTAGTCTTAGAACATTTTCATAATCCTTTAAAAAGATAACCTTGTACGCATTTTCAGTCTATCCTTGCTCCTGTCCTCAGCTCCAGACAGCCTCTAATCTGTTGTCTGTGTATATAGATTTACCTTTTTAAAATATTTCATGGAAGTAGAATCGCATAATGTATAGTTGTTTGCATCTGGCTTCTTTCACTTAGCGTAATGTTTTCAAGGTTCTTTCATGTTGAAACATGTATCGGTAGTTTTTTCCTTTTTATTGCTGAACTGTTTTCCATTGTATGGATGTACCATATTTTTTTAGCTGTTCACCAGTTGGTGGACATTTGAATTATTTCTAGTTTTTGGCTAGTATGACTACTACTCTAAGGAACATTTGCATATAAGTTTTTGTGTGGGTTTTGTTTTTATTTTTCTTGGGAAAATACCTAAGGCTGGAATTTCTAAGTCAATATGGTGAATTTAACTATTTAAGAAAAACTGCCAAATTTCTCCAAAATAGCAGTGCTGTTTTATATTCTTACCACTAACATATGAGGGTTCCAGTTTCTCCACATGCTCTTAATTATTTTTTAAAGATTAGTTTATTTATTTGAGAAAGAGAAAGCACAAGCAGGAGGAGCAGCAGAGGGAGAAGGAGTCCAATGAGGTGCTCCATCCCAGGACCCTGGAGTCATGACCTGAGCTGAAGGCAGATGCTTAACCAACTTAGCACCCAGACACTCCATCTCCACATGCTCTTGATTCTTGTTACTGTCAGTATTTTGGATGTACCCATTTTAGTGGGTATGAGGTAGTGTTTCATTGTGGTTTTAATGTGTGCTTCTGTTTAATTTGCATTTAATTTTCCATCATTTCTGTAATCAGTGATGATGATGAGCATTTTTTATGTACTTATTAGCTGTTCATGTATCTTTTTTTTCATGACATATTTAAATCTCTTGCCCAGTTTTAATTGGGTTGTTTTACTTTTGAGATGTGAGAGTTCTTTTATATATTCTGGTTAGAAGTCCTTCATTAGATGTATGGTTTGCAGATATTTTTGTTTACTCTGGATTGTTGTTGCATTTTCTTAATGTCTTTTGAAACACAAAAGTTTTCAACCTTTTTTTTGGGCACAATTTTATTTTCTCTTCAGTAAGTTGAAATCCTTGACGGGTACAATATCACATGGATTCTGTGGCAGATGACTTTAGCAGGAAGGTTGCTAGGGAATTTGGCACAAACAAGGCTACTGTTTCCATGAGCACGAGTTACTTTTCCCCAGATTACTCTGATTTTGTACAGATTGCCACCAGGAGTCACTGTGTTGTTCTTTGATTTGTACACAGAAGCACATCTCTTGCCTCCATAAGAGTTCAATTTCATTTTGAGCATAAACACCTTCAATTTTAAGAAGAGCTGTGCACTCCTTCTAGTTCAGAATACCTCACTTACAGCTAGCAAAAATGTCTCTGGACCATAGCCTTCCAGACATATTTGTCAGTTTAGGAGTTCTGTTCCCAGCAGGCCTCTGTAGGCTGTAAGATGGCAGAAAGAGCTGAAAGTTTTAAATTTTGACGGAGTCTAGTTTATCACTTCTTTCTTCCCTTGTTCATGTTTTTGGTGTGCATCTGGGAAATCTTTGTCTATCCCAAAGTCATGAAAATTTTGTTTTGTCTTATAGAAGTTCTGTAGCCTTAGCTTTTACATTTAGGTCTGTGATTTATTTTGAGTTAAGCTTTCTGTATGGTAGAGATCTCAATTCATCTTTGTGGATGTAGACATCCATTTGGTTCTAGCACTGTTTTGTGGAAAAGGGTATCTACCATTTCTCCACTGAATTGCCTTAGCATGTTTTTCCGAAATCAGTGGAATAAATGTAAGAGTTTATTACAGGACTCAATTTATTCATTGATTTTTATGTCTGTACTTCATAGTCTTAAAATACATACTAAAGCTTCATAGTAAGTTTTGAAAACAAAAAGTGTTAATCCTCCAACTTTGTTCTTCTTCAAAATTGTTTAGCCGTTCTGCATTCTTTGCATTTGCCTATTATTTTAGTACCGGTTTGTTAATTTCTGCCTCCCCAAAAATCCCCTCCTTGGATTGTGATAGAGATCACGTTGAATCTAAATCAGTGGGGGAGGTTTTCCATCATCTTCCAGTGCATAGATTTGGTATGTCTTGTCATTTATTTAGATCTTCCAGTGTTCAAGATAAATTTTTTTACTTTAGCATCTCTTTATAGATATATTCTGAAGTGAATGGAATTTGGTTTCTTCTTAATTAAATATATTGAAATACAATTGGTTTTTCTTGTATTAATCTTGTAATCTGCAGCCTTGCTGAATTCATTTATAAATTCTGGTAGGGATTTTTGTGTGTGTGTGTGCTTATCTATCTGGATTCCGTAGGACCTTCTAAATATAAGAATGTGTCAGTGACAAATAGCATATTTTTCTCCCTGCTATCGAATCTGGATGCCTTTAATTTTTTTTTTCTCTCTCTCTCTCATTATTAGAGGGCATGTATGAAAAACCTATAGCTATCATCGTCCTTAATGGAAAAGACTGAATTACTATTGGAAACAAGAGAAGAATGCCTGTTCTCACTACTTCTGTTTACCATCATTCTGGAGGGGCTAGCCATAAACTATTAGTTCTATTCCTAGTTTGCTGAGAATTTTTACCATGAGTGGATGTCGGATTTTGTCAGAAGCTTTTTCTGCATCTGTTGAGATGATCAGATGAGGTTTCTTTCTTTTTTCTATTTGATGTATATTACATGAACTTATTTTCTGATATGAAACCAGGCTTTTATTCCTGGGATATTCTCATGTGGTCTTGGTGTATAATTCTTTTTAATACATTTCTAGATTAGATTTACTGATATTTTGTTGAATATTTTTGCTTGTATATTCGTGAGGCAGGGATTGTGATGTCTTTATTTAGCATTGGTGTCAGGGTAATAATGATCTCATGGAATGAGTTGGGAAGTGTTCCCTTGTGTTTTTGGAAGGGCTTATTTGTATTATTTCTTTTTTAAATATTTGATAGAATTTACCAGTGAAGCTATTTGGGTTTAGACTTTTCTTTATGGGGAAATTTTTAATTACTGATTCAATTTCCTTAATTGGATCAGTCTATTCAGAGTCTCTGCTTTTTCTTGAGTTAGCTTTGATAATTTGTGTCTTGCTAGGAGTTTTTCCATTTTGTCTAAATTGTCTAATTTGTTGGCATAAAGTTTTTCATAATATATTTTATAATAGTTATAATTTCCTTAGGGGTTAGTGGTGATGTCTTCATTCCTGGTTTTGGTATTTTGTGTCTTGGTTGGTTTAGCTAAGGGATTGTTAATTTTGTTGATCTTTTGAAAGAACCAGGTTTCTTTTTTTCATTGATTTCCAAATTCATTTGCTATTATTTTCTTTATTCTGCTTACTCTACTTTTAGTTTGCTTTTTTTTTTTTTATAGTTTCTTAAGATGAAATCTTTGGTTATTGGTTTCAGTGTTTCTACATTTTTAGCATAGGAGTTCAAGACCACTCCTTTAGTTGCATCCCATAATTTTGGTATGTTTTGTTTTTATGCTTATTTAGTTCAAAATTTTTTTCAAGTTCCCTTGTGATGTTTTACTTTGACCCTTAGATTATTTAGTAACACATTAATCAGTTTCCATATATTTTGGGATTTCCCCATTTTTTCTGTTGATTCCTAATCAGATTCCATGTGGATTACAAAGCATTGAACATACTTTGTATGATTCCAGTTCTTTTTAAAATTTATTGAGAATTGTTTTATGTATGTTTTGTGTAGCCTGTGATCTAAGAATGATTTTTAGATTATTAAAGAGTTGTTAAAGAAGAAGAATATGTGACAAAGATAGTATTTGACTTACGAAACCTAAAATATTTGCATCCCACTTGGTCATGTATTTAATCCTTTTTGTATGTTCCTGGATTTGGTGGACAAGAAAGATTTGCCAACCCCGGGCACAGCAGTGGTCTGTTTTAGAGACTATTCCATGTGCATTTGAAAAAGCAAAACAAAAAAACCCTATACATTTTGATACTGTAGGGTGTCCTAAATTCTGTGCATTTTATTTAGATCAGGTTGGTTGATAGTGTTGTTGCTCAAGTCTTCTGTATTCTTGCATATTTTCTTTCTAATTGTTGTATTAGTTGTTGAGAGTGTGAGATTGCAGGTTGGGATATCCCTAACTGTTGTTATTGGATCATTTATTTCTGCTTTCATTCATGCTGGTTTTTGCTTCATTGCTTTGGGGGCTCTGTTGGTAAAGTAAACAACTCATTATGATTTCGTATATTCACAGAGACATGCAAAGCATCACCACTGTCCATTTCCAGAACTTCTCATCATCTCAGACAGAACTCTATACCCATTAAACAGTAACCCCTCTCCCCTTAGCACTTTGGTAATCACCATTCTACTTTCTGTCTCAATGAATTTGCCTAGTGGAATCTTATAATATTTGTCCTTTTGTGACTAGCTTTTTTCAGTTAGCTTAATCTTTTCAAGATTTATTCATGTTATAGCATGTATTAGAATTTCATTTCTTTCCAAGATTGAATGTGTTCTCTTGGATGCATAGCCCACATTTTGTTAACCCATTTATCAGTTGGTGGACATTTGGGTTGTTTCTGCCTTTTGGTAGAACAGTGAATAATGCCATCATGAATATTATTGTACAGGTATTTGCTGGACTGTGCTTTTTAAATCATTTGGTATCCTATGCCTGGGAGTAGAATTGCTGGATTTTATGGTAATTCTGTTTAACTTTTTGAGGAACTGCCAAACAGTTTTCCACAGCAGCTATACCATTTACACATTAACACTA